ATCTAATAAACTAGTCGCAAAAATTCCAATTCCAGCCATCAAAGAATCAGCCATCGCAGCAATAACGTCTATATCTCCTGGTCTTAAATAATGAACTGAATCGGGAATAGTAGGAGATCTATAGAGATTAAATAAAATAATTAATTAAAACTTTAGAATATTAAAACACAATAATTTTAATTATTGTATATAGAATTTGATTATATGATATGAATATGATTTGAATATGATTTAAAAATGTGATTATTTTAATAATAATAATAGAAAATTTGTTACCTGTCATATTGCAAGGAAATAGAATATCTGTTGGAATTTTTCTTGAATTTTTTCTTCGTGTCGTGCTGTGACTCTTTGTTTTGTGCCTTTTGTAAAAAGAAATTATTAATGATTCATAATGTTTTAACGAAATATGAAATAATTGTTAAATAAAATATAAAATGAATAAAAATATCATAATAATTTAAAATAAATAAATATTATCTGTCATTAATAAAATTTAATATTATTCATCTATTTAATAAATATTTCAAAACATTATAAATTCTTAATACATTCCAAATATTAATAAAATTCTACTATTTATAAAATATTATATAAATATATATTATATAATTATATATTATATATATAAATATATATTATAAAATTATATATTATAAAATTATAATATTATATAAATATATTATAAAAATAATTCTTTTTTCTATCACTATTTTTATAAAAATTTGCTTTTTTCTCATTTTTCCTCCAAGATATCGATTTAGATTTATATATTTTTCTTTTAATAAAAAATAAAAAACACAAAATGATAAAACTATCTGAATACGTACCAATACTTCGAGTAATCCAATTACGAAATAATCGATATCTTTCCAGATTTGCCGGTGAATCTAAATACGTTTTTTGAGACACAGATAATACATATAATAATTGTAACAAAAAAAATAATTGTAATTTGACCATCATTCGTTTTAATGAATCAATTAATAAAATGTCTTCGTAATAATTTTCTATTCAATTATATTTCTAGTCAATTATATTTCTTATATTTCTAGAATTGTAGATACTGAATGCACTTGAATGCTTCTTTTCAGCGATAGCTGCTGCATATAGTATATATATTATCATGTATCATGATTTTTATAGTTAGTAATGATTGATACGAAAAAAAAGATTATTTAAAGAATAGAAACTAAAAAAGAAACGATAAAAAATAGTCTTACGTCATATTGAATAAAAGTTTATTTACAAAGATAAATATTTATAAAGAAAAATAAACATTTATATATAAAAAAATTAATTAAGAATTTTTGTATATAAAATGTATATAATTATAATATATGCATATTTATGACTGATGTTTAATTTTAATCATTGTAATGAAAGAAACATTAGAAGATGAAAAACTAAGGATGAAAAATTTTTCAGATATAAAATTTTCATTTTCATTTCAATTTAATTTTTAATTTCTAAAATATTGATAAAAAATTTTTGATTTAACTTTATATTCTTTTTATGCATATGATGTGTACATCAATATGTCACTTATCAATTGTTCACATGAATCATAATATTCGTATTCACTTACAAAATTAGATGGAAGTAGTAGATAGATGGAAGTAGTAGTAGTAGGAAATTCGTTAAATGCGTATATATATGTGTGTGTGTTAAATGTTTTTTCAATTGATATATATATTTCTGTTATGTGTGTATACAGAAACTGATGCTTACAATGATGTATTTTCTTAATAATACACTATATTATAAATAAGATATACATATCTATTCGAGAGCTGGGTCCTTTACAATGTCAATATGAAATTGCGTGGAAGGATCAGAGCATATGAAATATTATTTAAATCAGATAATTATTACAGTCAGTAGTATAATTAGATCAATTGTCAATCAGCTACAATTAATTGTTACAATTAAATCACAAATAGTTAAATTATTATTCGTTCACTCAAAGCTATATAATATAACAATTATACATCTAAGTTCTATAATCATAGTCATCAATCACAGTCAAGTTAGACTTTAATGTACTATATTTTGTATTTTAAATAAATTTATTATTTTTTATTAGTATTGTGTTTTTATTTTTTAACTATTGATTAATTATTTGTGTTGGTTTTTTATATATAAAAATGCAATTTATCTTGTATTTTTACATTTCACATTTTACATGTGAATTAGCTATTAAGCGCGATCGTTGTTTCGTTTCTGTTTTCTTTTTCTTTTTTTGTTATATTATGCAATGTAATATAATGAGTAGAATAAAGACATTGATATGACTCTAATGTAATTTATTCCTATTTCCTTTTATTAAACATATTTTTTCTTACTCTGCATTCTTTGTTTTATTTTAATTAAATTATTTTACAAATTTATTCTCTAAGTTAAATATATAACTTTATAATTCACAATTAATTAAATTTTATAATTTAAATTTACTATGTATTTGATTATATTAAGTTAAAAAAGTCTTTTCAGTTTATATAGTATTTAGACAATAAATTAGTAGATTTTTTATTTTTGACATAAAATAAATCAACAAATTCTTTTATTTTTGTTTTATAAAAGAATATATAAACAATAAAAATAATGAATTTATTGATTTCATATATAATAAAAATGAAAAAATTTTTAACATAAATATTTCTTTGGACAAGTGGATATTGAAAAAAAATATTTTTTTTTTAATTAAGTGATAATTAATTTATATTAATCTTCATATATTTTAAATCTTAAATTATCGTGTAACCAATTTTGATTATGAATCAATACATCACAAATATAATACTCTTACATTTAGATATTTTAATTTTTATTTCAAATTTTTTTAAAAATAAAGTATCAATTTAAAATATTCAAGTCGTAAAAAATTTTATTAATATAATTGCCAAAAATGTACTAAGAAAATGTTTTGAAAAAATATTTAAAATAAATACAATATTTCAAATATTTTTTTTAATTTTAAATTATGTGGAAAGTTATTGAACAAGACTATAAAAATAAATATAATAAATAAAAAAAGTACTTATATTTACATAATATATAATTATATAATATATTATATAATTATATATAATAAATATATTATAATATATAATTATGTAATATATTACATAATATATTAATAATATTTACATATTATTTTATATATTTACATATTATTAATATATTAATATTAATGATTATAAACGTTAATAAGAGATAATTTTCTTAATAGAAATCACTTGATATTATTTAAGTAAATGTCACAAATGAATAATTTTCATAAAAAAATTTAGCTTCAATGTTCATGAAGTTATATAAAATTGATTTATTATAATATGAAATTTTATTACTAACAAAGTTTTTATTTTAAATAATCAAAGTAAAGTTCATATACAAATGAAAGTTTACACATGTCATTAAATGAACGAATTCACGAAATTTTAAAAGTTCTTTTAATTGAAAAAATTCAAAGTTAATAACGTTGTTTTAATAAATTCAAATAGTTCAAAATTTAAAACGTTCTAATAATTCAAAAATTAGAATTGTTCTATAATTTAAAATGATTTAATTTTTTTTCAAATTTTACAAATGTTTAAAATTCTTTTTCTGTTCATTTCAGAGATCAATTATATAAACGATCAATAATAGCGCGAACTAGTGATGATTGTGCAATGTCTTTGATTGTGCAATTTAAGAAAATTTCAGAAAAATTTCTAGAAATAGATGTCATACTGGATAACTGACTCGTGTTATTTATAATAAATTTTCTCAAATGTATGATGATGCTGATGGTTATTAGGATTAGGATAAATGAAAAATATTCTCAAGTTCAAAATCATATTCACATTTAAATCATTTTGAAATGTTTTTAAAAGATATACAATTCTAACAGTCTTCTAAATATTTCTGTCAAAAATTATGTCATGCAAGTGAATCTTAATAAATTTCATATATATGTAGAATATTCCAAAAATGTGGGAATCTAAGAGATTCCTAAGATAATTTCAAGTAATATTTTCTTTTACATGCTACAAATTGAGCACGAATAAATTTAAATAATATGTGTTGAAAAAAATGTTAATATAACAAATATTTTTTTATTAACGAAAAATTATATTAAATTACATTTAGAAACAATGAATGAACAAATTATTTTTTATTCATGGAGAACGAATAAATCGAAAAATTTATTCATCAAAATTTGATAAATAATGTTAAATTGTGATATAAAAAAAACGAATATAACTTTTCTAACAAATGAATGATAAATAATACATATTTGGAAAAAATAAACAATACATTACAATCTATATCAAATTAAAAAATAATTAATCAACAATTGATATATTACAATCTATATTAAATTAAAAAATAATTAATCAAATAAGTTGATAAAATCAGTTATTTATCGAAAAATCAACTCAAGTCTTGAAAGAAATTCTTGATTTATGTAAGTAATATTAAACTGATCGTAAATAAAATATCACCGAAAAGTGACTCAAAGAAAATATATCAAATCAATGTAATTATAATATTATTCACTTCGCACCAATACTAATCTTTTAGTTCAATAAGAAAATTGAATTTAATTCTTTTTAATTTTTCTTCCGCATTATTATATTTTAACGCTGAATAAGTGAAAAGTAAAATATTTTCGTACTTTGATGATGAAAAATGGATTATTGATGAATACAATATGCATTATATGTTGTTTCTCACAATAACTATATGTAATTATATGTATAACTATATGTAATTATATCCAGTTATTAAACAAGATAAATCATTGTGAGACAACGATCTTATATAGTCATGCATATCGTACAATTCATTACTCATCAAGATAGAAAAATATTTTTATTCATTCAATTTCAATCAGATTCCATTATCCATTATTTCATTATCCATTATTGCAATACAAAAATTTAAATAAAAATGTTTAATATTAAAATAATAATGCGAAAGAAAAACTAAGAAAAATTAAATTTAATTTCTTATTAAAAGTGATTACAAGTGAATCATTATTGATCATGCAAGAAAATGAATGATGGATACATTAATTCGAAGATACATTATTTTTGTGTTATTTTTTAGTAGTTTATAGTAATTATGTTTTATTTGTAATAAATTTAGTATACAAATGTGATAAAAATTAATTCAATGTTAAGCAAGCATAGCCAGGAACTGATGACTCAGAGGCACATTTCAAAACTCGAATGATTGATTCTATCGAAGTTTTTGAATTGTTCTTTAATTCAGTACAATCTGTAAAATATCCTTTATTTGTTGTATTCCAAATTATTATTATATATCATTTATTAATTAGAAAAGTTTTATATTTTCTTTTTACATCAAAATTTAACACTTTTTTTATTCACTTTGAATGACGAATAAATTTGATTTATTCACTTTATAAATAATAATTAATTAGTCTATTCATTCTTCTTAAGATAATAAGAATAATAATAATAAGATAATAAAAAATGTAATTTAATATAACTTTTTAATATAAAAAAATATTAATTATAATTAATATAGTTTTTTCGACATATATTTGTTGGACTTTATGTACAATAGTGTCACTGGATTAATACGCTCTCTGAGTATGATTAGTCATTGTTTTTTTTTTTAATAACTCGTTAACAAAATTATAACGAAAATTTTTGCAAAGAAAAATATTGTTAAAAATCTCTAATTATCCACATATTTGGATAATCTATATATTATTATATAATGACATTTATATATATGACATGATATATAATTACATTTAATTGATTATCTTATAATTATAATAATCTTCAAAATAATTGAAATTATTAATTATTATTATATTTATTTTAAAAAAAGCTATAGATATTTATTTTATTTTAATTCATTATATTACATAATTACTATCTATTAATATTACATAGTATAAATAATACCACGTAATATAATTACATACAACCTTTACATACCATATCATTGTATACATTTTTATTTTTTTTAATTATATTAGA